CCCCCACCTCCTCAAAAAACAAAAAAAATGTGGCTCGGGTTGAACATCAAAATTCAGCAGATACTTTTTACCTTGCTTTTTAAGATCTCTATCTTACCTCAGAGAGGAGCTATGAAAATAAGTGAGGTGATTATCATTAATATAGGTGTTATAGAGATCATGAGGAAATTAATAATTCTGTCTTTGAAGTGCAGTTTGAGTAGTAAGACAAGGGGCCACCCTCTAAACAGTACAACTAAAGGGAAATATTAAACACCTGCTCATTAAATGAATACCAACAATCTGGAGATGTTTGGGGAAAAAATAGTGTGTGATCATATAATTGAAATCAGTCACAAAGGCATCATAAACAGAAAGGAAGTGATTGAAAGACATGCAGACAGCCTTAATTCTGTCAGTAAGTGTGGCCAGCTTGATTATGTTCTTTTAACTTTTTTAAAAAATTATTTGCATTTGATTATTTGTATAGTAATCATGCATAACAAACCTATAAAATCAGCTCTGTAGTTATCAAGACAAACTGCCTGAGTCAGAATCTGTTATTGCTTGTATCTGTGTGAATTCTGAGTAATTTTTTTAAGTGACATCATATCCCTTAACTTGCTGAGAGTGAAATATGAAACCTAGTGTGTAACCAAGTTTTAAATGTCTTTATGATAAATCCCTGTCTTATGTGGAAATACTGTTTCATATAAACCCAGCCTTATAATGGTTTGACTAGCATAAATAATTTATGACAATAAAAGTGTGGTATGGCTGAGGGGACAGAAAAAAAATTGTACAGTCCAAATGCAACTTGGAAACTAACCCCAGTGACATCCTTTCAAATGAAATTACCGGTACTTGGATTTTGTACCAGTATAACTGAGATCAGATTGTGGCTCTGCATCTGGATTTTAAGCAGGCCTGTACAACATTATGGTGATTAATACTATTTGTAGCCGTGCAGCCTAACATAACAAGGGTAAACAGAAGTTATTATTTGGACCTTAATTTGGTTTTCCTTGGTGAAGTTGGCGATGGGGATCAGGGAAGCTCTGTCCTGTGCAAAACAGCTCACAATTGCCTGAGGTGCGTAACACAGAGTTTAAATTTTCCTCCTCAGCATCAAGCTGTTGATCACTGCCAAAGGCAGGCTGACTCCATTGTCAGGAATTGTCCATTGGCAGCTCACACAGTGCTGCAGCAGGAGCTCCCAGCTCAGGCTCCGTGTGTGCAGCGCTGCAGAGCCACAGCTTTCCCAGGGAAGGGCACGGCCTCAGAGGCCTCCCCACTGCCTGGCAGCTGGGTCCTGGCACAGGCAGCCTTCTGGTGCCTCTTGCTGGAGGGCAGGATGGGACAGCCCCTGCCTCTCCAGCCCAGAACCAGAACCTCTTCCTGGCTCTTGATGCACATCATCAAATTCACTGTCTGAATTTGTGGAGCGCAGCCTCCTTTCTGTTTGAGGACGGGTAAGCAACAAGATGCTGAAAAGTCAAAAAGTGTTCATTTCAGCCCTCTGACTCACTGTGGAATTTTAATGTCTCTTTCAAGAGCGGCCCACGTTTCTCAGGAGACCGATCAACCAAGTGGTGCTGGAGGAGGAGGCCGTGGATTTCCGGTGCCAGGTGCAGGGGGATCCCACACCCACAGTCCGGTGGAAGAAAGACGATGCAGACTTACCGAGAGGAAGGTGAGAGCCACGTTCATGTTCACTTTCAGATTTCAATTGCTGCACAGTGCTGGAATCCATCCCTACTACTAAGAGCTCGTTCTTTGACATTGTGTTCAAGATTTATTTCCCACATTGCTGCTCTTTTGGCACTACAAATCTTGTTCCAGAGGCAGCTGTGTAGGGAAACCCAGCCTGGGTGAATTGTCCAGGTAACAGATTCCTGTGGAGGAAAGAAGAGTGATGTGTAGGTGTTGTGAGCACAATGGGTATTCAGTGAATTTATTGGAGACAGTAAAGATGTTTTAGGACTGTAATAGTGATAGTAGCCTTCAGAATGATGTGCTGATACCAAGAGGGAGAAAATTTGGCAGGAAAGTTGCTCTTTTGCACTGGCAAGGTGAATTACAAGCAGAGCATGGTGGGCTTTGCTGGCTCCTCAGTTCATGTCTGTTAAGTCTTGGAGAGAAACCTTCCTCTTGAGGAAATGAAAAGCCAGACTAGCAGAAGTGTAAAGCAGAGTGGAAATCTGGAACAGGCCCCCTGTGTTCAAGAAAGATTAATTTAGTGTGGAACAAACAAAGAGAAAATTTTAGTGAGCAGGGGAAGGGAGTCTCTCCTGCAAAAGGGTTTTAAATTAGTTTGGCTCCTTTCAACTAACAGAGCAGTTTTTGGACCTCATTTTCTGGAACTCTTTCTTGTTTTGATGCTGAATCATTATTTCATTAAAACATCTCAACGTGGAAATAGGGAACAGGAATTAGAACCCAGGTATCCACAACCCAACAAGTCCTTCTGGCACTAGGAGTCCTGATTTATTTTTGCACAGTTTTAATTTTAGCAGCTGATATGCACAGTGCCTCTTTATTTATTTTTTTTTCCCCTATCATATCTGATATTTTCCATTAGTTGAATATACTAATGGAAAAATACAAAATCTAGCAAAAACATTTCTGTGTAAGTTAGATACATATGTATATATATGTATATATGTACTTTAAAAAAAATTAATTTTCTTGCATTTGAAACAAATTTGAAAAGTGACTTGGCTGTTTTTCTTATTAGAGTGACAGATATGTATGAATGTAATACACAAAATATTATTTTCTAGAGAAGACTTTTGGATGTCAAGACGGATTTTTCTCTTTGCTTGCTCTTTAAGTATGTATTGTAGAGTAGTCCACAGTAAATACATTGTGTTTCTGTGACTTATTCTTGCTTTTGTGCTGCTTCTGTTGTTTTAAATCATGCCTCCTTCTAGGTGTCATAAGCAGAAGTAATAGATGATGAACCCACGATGTCTTTGGTTGGACTGAACTTCTGTTAGATATTTTTAGTGACCCTATCCCTTCTTTTTCTCCAACATCTGCACTTCGGAGGCAAATGCCTCTGATAATTAACATTGTGTGCTTTCTATTCTATAGAAAGACACATTTCTTTTTATTTATATAGCACAACATGTGAGCATATGTTCACTGTCCAAAAAGTGGATATTTCCAAACCATGCTTCATGATACTAAATCAAGGAGATAAAGTTGGAACCTCTAAAACAAAAGCTATTGGTTTTTTTCTGGACTTATTTAATACCAGCAAATAGAATGAATTTGCCCAGGTATAGTCTGAATGAATGGATGGATGAGAAAATGATGATATTGAAATTTTATAAATTTGCAAAGAATGTCAAAGTGATTTCTCCATGTTGAAATTAAGGGATTTTTTTTAGGTGAAAGACAAATTATATTTCAGCTTCTCAGCTCCTGTAATTTAAGAGTTCTAGCATCTTCAATGATAAATAAAGCCCTCAAGAATTTCCCTTTGTTATTCTTCCTACATGCAAAAATATTTCTGAGCAGATCTCTGAGCTATTTGTCTTATAACTTTCAATATAAATTTCCTGTTTCTACAGCTGACAGTGTTCTTTGCACATCTGTCTGTTTTCATTTTTTCAATAATTTAATTTTGGTATCATCCCTAGATTGCAAGACAATTATAGTAGGTATCTGTTTCAACAATTACTGCAGATTTTTAAATGTGTCTATTGTTGATTCAGTTTTCACAAGTGTCTAGTTCAGTGGCAGCAAAGTGGGACAAACTGAATTTTTTTATTTTGTGTTTTGTTTCTGTAATTTGCTCCAGGTGAATGCCAGAACCAGTGATAGTGGATCCATAGTCTTTCAGAAATCCTTGTCTGTTTTTCCACCTTATCTTGTTTTAGGTTGTTTTAGTGACCCATGTGGCAAGCAAAGAGAAAAGCGATCCCAGTGATTTCTGGTGACAAATGTGAACAGTGTTGCTGCACCGATTGGTGTGTTGAGTAGTAATTGGAAAATAATTTCAGGCTTTTAAAGTCCTGATTATAAAGGTCCCTGATGGACTTTAAGCATCTCCAGTTGCAATTGGATTAAATGAGAAAAAAACCTCAACTTCTAAAGAAATTACTATGTTTGAAAACATGACTCTTTATAAAAAAAAAATAATTTGGCTACTTGTCAAATTGTCTGTGTAATTGCCCAGGAGTATATAAATAACCATGCTTGAAATCTGAGAACAGACAGTTTATTCTGATGATGCAAAATGTAATTCCCAATTTCAGTTGTTTTGAACTGATGATCTAAACCAACTATGATAGTCTGTATTTTGAATTTAAAGCCTTAAAGTGGTTCTTTGAGTAGCAGTTTTTAAAATGCCTGGGAAACTTCGGTCTCACTAATGGAAGTTACTTATCCAACATCCTGTAGACCTGATTTGAGATTTCAAACTGTGATACATGTCATGGAGCTCCTCTGTGTATGAATGGGCAGGAGTTAAAAAAATGATAATTACTTGGTGAAAACAGTAGTGTGAGTGATGTATGATAACTGTTTCCATAGTTCTTTTGCACCACTGTTATAAAGAATTATTTGCATTCTTCAGTGCTTAAAATTCTTGTTAGAGCCTAAATTGGTCCCAGCAAATTAATATCTTGTTGATCTAAACATTGCTACTGCACCAACAGGGAGAATCAAATCCAGTGTGAAGTCTGGGGTATGTAAAGCCTTTTTCCAGAAGCTGTCCACTTCAAATCAGTGACCCAAGACTGAAATGCACTGTGAATCAGAGGTAGAGGCACATGGTGGATATTTTATTTTAATTGCTCTAAGAGTTCAGCCTCACACAACAGCCTCCCCAGTACAAAAAGGGTGGGGAATAGTTAATCAAGTATGACTCATGTCAAACTACTGGAGGTGAACAGGATGTTGTGGGGTCATCAGTCCTGTGTCTTTGGCTGCAATATGAAGTTCACTATTTCGTGAATAGAGTTTTTTCTCATTATAAGTGGCACAAGGAAATGGCACAAAGATTGTGTCAAAGTGACTCAGACAATTGTGGCCATGCATAATGATTAAGACCTACTGAAAATTAAATAAAATTTGTCTTCTTGCATCAAATTTTTTTGCTAGGCACATGTTCAGGTATCTTTCCCTTTGATGTCTGCTCAGCAGAAATAGAGATTTTACTTTCTTTCCAAGGAGTTGATGGTCTTCTGTGTGGTAGGGAACTCAATATGGCCTGGATTAACTTTTTATTCATCTACATTTTAGTCCTGGTAACAGAGAGAAAATAACATTATTTGAGAGCCTACAGCATGAGAGTGGCAGATCTATGACTAGCAATTTAATAACATTTGAATAAGGTTTGTACAGTGTTTCATGTCTTCAAATTTTCTAGTGAAGCCGAAGAGAGCAGCTGCATGGTCTGTAATTATATAGCAAGTAATAAGTACTTTTTTTTTTTTTTTTAGGAAGTGAAGAGATTTTCAATTACAAGTCAAAATTTATGACACACTATAATAACTGTTTAAACCTTTTATACAGAAGAAGTTAGCAGTGCCAGCTCTTCGGGAGAGTGAGGTTAGCTCAGCAAATGTATTTTTCAGTTGCCTTAAAAATGACTGAGTAGCAATCACATAGGCCTTTTTTTGCATTCCAGCCCAGAACAGCTGTTTTAGCTCAGTAAATACATCTTTAATGAAATTACAACCTGCTCTTTTAAGTTGCATTTACAGGCACTGTCTGATTAGATGGATATTGTACTAGAGATGAAAAGTGGCAACTGCACCAGCAGGAAGAGGTATTTGTTTTATATGCCACCCACACAATGGGAGTGTGGGCAGAAAAACCAAGAGTGATACTTCAGAAGGAAAGTGGTGTGTACTTTACACAAGGTACATTGCTAAGTGCTGAGCGATTGTAGGTTATTAAATGAAACCGAACAGTGACACACAGCAGTGAAAATCATAAACAGCACAGTAAGCTTTCTTATTTGCTGGAGATTAGGAATGTCCATTAAAAATTATTTGGGAATAAGCATTCTTAAAGCACAGAGTTAATGTATTCTAAGGTCTGTGTTAGCTGCAACAGCACAAGCCTGTGAAGGTTTTGCTATGTTTTTAAAACTGGCTGCTTTTTTTTTATGCATAGTCTGGGTAGAAGTACTGCCACACTTCTGACAGAGCTTAATGAAAAAGAACACCTATAATTTCACTGCTTTCCTTCATGGCTTCTTGTGAGCCCAAAACTAGGAGTACAGCACAACATTTTAGAAAATCTTGCTGTCTTCCCGATGCAACTCTTTGAAATGGATTTAAACACAACTGACAGCGAACCTAATGAACTAAGAAAAGCTGGAATTTTTTTTAGGAGATCCAGAAAGAGCCTGATAGCCTGAGAAGTTTTGCATTTACATTTCCCCACTGTGATGGGTTGACCCTGGCTTGATGTCAAGTGTCCCCCAAAGCCTTTCTGTTATTCCCTCCCCAGCTGGACTGGGGGCAAAAAATATAATGAAAGGCTCATGGGTCAAGATAAGAATAGGGGGAGATCACTCATCAGTTAGTGTCATGGGCAAAACAGACTCAACCTGGAGAAAAATTTGTTAAATTTATTTTCAATCTAATCAGAATAGGATAATGAGAAATTGAACCACACCCTCTCCCCACCTTCCTCCTGGACAGGGAAAGGGGGTTGTGGTCAGTTCATCAG